ATAGTAAACCATGCGAATCCCAGATCCAAATGGCCACCAGTCCATATTCGTTCTTAATGCTTAGGCTATTGATGTTATGTATTTCATTTCATTTTTGACAACTTCCAGTTTTCCTAGATTCATACTTCATACATTTCATGTTATAATTACTAATGGATGTTTGCAGTGATTTCTCCTCACTTTGAGGTGTGCACCATCAGCAATGAATGTCTCAAAAAGTAGACATTGGCATCACTTCCTTCAACCTTACTTTGAGAAGACAGCTAGCTCTTCCCCAGTTGCATTTTGAGTGCCTTCAGTCTTGAGGGGCTCATCTTTCTTTTTTAAAAAAAATGTTTTATTGTGAATTATGTGATAGTTTACATGGGGGAACATTAGTTTTACATTCATCCTATCGTGTATCGTTTCATTGCCATGGTTACAACCCCCTCCATGCATCATCAACCAACCAAAGGTTATACACTATAAGCCTGCACCCCGGTCGTCAGCATACAGCCCTCTCCCTTTCTGGGTCTAAAGTCCCCAGTTGCTCCATCTCTCTTCGTCATCGTCTCTGCCTCCATATCTGGCATCACTGCTTTTCTGGATAGGGTCCTGCTCTCTGCTCTTCTCCCTTGATGGTCCCAGGGACCTCCACTCCTAGACTGAAAAGTTAATCACTCCCCTCCTTGCTACAAAATGTCTATCTTTACATTTTCAACCCTTACAATTAGTCCTGATAACAATTATTCGCTATTGTATCACAAGAGACCTATCTACATTTCCTTTCATCAGCCCCACTTAGACAGATTGGATACTACTCAGTGGAGATTCTACCTTCCTCCGTACTCTCTGGACCTAGATTCCATCTTGAAAGCTTGTAAGTGAGTCACTTCTTGCCTTTGTAGCCCTCCCATTTTGGGTAGCCAATGTCCAAGGTGCCCATCCCTGTCTACTCTATGTATGGAGGGGCTGGGAATGATCCTTGCTGTAAAGATTTGTTCCCTCTTTTGAGCTACTGCATCCATAGATGTAGGTCAAGTTAATCAAATTGTATCAGATTACTCTTTTTTTCTTCTACTTTCTTCTTCTAGTTGAGCTTTGATCATCCAGTCATTGAAGCCAAGTCAAGTGGGTATTATCTGCAAGTGTGGGTGTTCTTGTGCAGATGCCCACTCTTCTTATCAGCTGGACACTTCACTCTCTACTCCAGTCCTCTGTGGCTATGTCACTGACTCTGGGCCGAAGAGTCCCCAGGTCTTGCCACACGGCTGGCCAACCAGGTCTCCACCAGTGTTCACAGAAGTCTATTGAACGTTGTAGTGCTTAGCTTGCAGCTTCATTGCTGTTTTTCCTTCACTTCCCCTTATCGGTGAAGAACATGGTCACCAATTAGAGCATGTATTCCCATTGAGTTTTAGTCTTGGAAGGGGCTTTGCTCTGAGGGGACCTGACCACTTGCCTTGATCTCTCCTGGGTGAGCAACTTGCTTCTTCTTGTAGTAATCAGTAGGTCTGCCTATATTGTTCTGTATTTTTCCTGTTGGTCTTTCTTTCAAGAAGTATCTTCTGTTCTTCTAGCCACTCCAGGCTGGTCTGCCCATCCTTTCAAGTGGAAATTTCCCACCTCTGGAGATTATGGATGCTGTTCTGAATTCCACCTATAGTCTTATATGATGCAGAGGCTCCGCAGGAAGCCTCCTTCACTGGGAATATTGTAGTCCCATTTTAGGTATTCCAATCAGTTATAAGCAGAAGACGGACTTACAAGCTTTGTATGGTGATATTTCTGGCTATTCCTTTCTCTCCCCTGAGGGTCTCATCTTCTGATGCTGTATCTGACACTATTATGGTGCTGTTCATAGTGTTTTCATTTGCTGGCACTATATCATTAACAACCTGTGATATGCAGATGATACAACCTTTCTTGCTGTAAGTGAAGAGGACTTAAGATATTTACTGATGAGGATCAAAGAGCACAGCCTTCAGTATGGATTACATCTCAATGTCAAGAAAACAAAAATCCTCACCATTGGACCAATAAACAACATTCTTATCAACAGAAAAAAGATTGCAGTTGTCAAGGATTTAATTTTTCTTGGATCAACTATCAACACTCATGGAAGCAGCAGTCAAGAAATCAAATGAC